TTATCACTGATTCAGTGTTGCTTCTAACACTCTGTAGTGTGCACACTGAGCAGTGTTCATTTCATCAACTCGTCTAGAAAACCCATGTGGGGCCCTCATGGAAACTGAGGACTAAACTGTCTGGGCCCCAGGCCCCACACGGCTGTGCTGGCGAGAATGTGAAACAGCTAGAGAAATGAACTAAACTAGAAACCAGATGTGCTGTGATTATAATCTGTAAACACGACTGCAGCTTACAAATAAATACAAGTAAATGCATCCCATGTAAAATAAATATTACTGTCTTAGAAATATATTCAGATGTGTAAAACAAGTACTAAAGTCACATGATTCAGTAACTGTAATCTGATTTCAGCAATCTAATATAAAACAGGTTATATCACTCTGTTTCTGTATGTCATCATATTACTGTAATGTGTTTCTGCAAACACTGATGATCAATATAACAGAGACACGGATGCAGTTAAACAGAGATCAGATCACAATTCAGCAGATACTGACAGTTCAGTCTATCATAGCATCTCTCAAACCATCTGTCATCTGTCATCATGAGTAACACTGGTAAAATGATAATGATGATGAATCCTGAAAACAGGAGAGGAGTTATATTAATGCTGGATATTATAATTCATCAGCAGGTTCACAGCAGATTACAGTAAATCATATACAGTACAGTAAATACAGTAAATCATAAATGAACATCAGTCTCGGTCCATAATGAGTGTTTTAAAGTGACATTAAAGTAATGAAGAATGTTCATTATTAAAGCATGTTGATCTGAACCCTGAGTAAAATGAACACCGATGAGCTCAGATGATTATGAATATGAATATGAATATGAACTCACCTCCTCTGGCAGATCCAAACGTGTAGAACAGGAGGATGAATTGTAAAGTAGGCAGAATATCAAAGGTCATATCAGCCACAAGGCCAAAGATTTCTATTATCCGTCCACTTTTCTGTCCAACCTCTGTAACTAAAACTGCAAGAAACATTTTTGATAATTAAGATCTGATTTGATTCAGGTTTGAATCATTATAATAGCAGTTTATCATGACACAATTAACAACAACAAAAACAGAAGCAGATGAACTGAATGAATCAGTGTGACTGTGAGAGTTTTTATACAAACATATATATTATCTATATATTATAAACATATCAATAAATATAATGAAGTTATTCAGTAACCTTCAAAAAAGGTTCTTCATTTTTCTAATAAAAACTGTACAGTATTATATTTAATAAAAACATCGATATGTACTATTTCTACTAATACTCTGAAGTGCAGTATCAGATCTGAAGAATAAAGTATGTTTGTGTTTTAATTATTAAACTAAAGTGATGAAGAGCGCTCAGATCAGTGTGAATCAGACTCAGTTTCAGTGATACTCTGGGCACTTATGGGAATGAATCACACAGAAATACTTACCGTAAATGATTCTGCAGAGGCAGCACACAAACACTATTGCAAACAGCACTATTATGACGACTTTATTAAATACAGCATAATTTAGAAACCTTTCCCAAGCACTTGCGAAAAGAGCTGGAAGAAAAGAAGAGATAAAAAATATCACATTAAATACTGTACATGACAGAAGAATACAACACACTCTTATCATTTCACTGTTTTTATGTAAATCATCTTGCTTTACTATGATTTGCACCGACAGTCTTTCTCTTATAATCTGAGCTTCAGTGTTTCTAATACTGACCATTACACAATCATATGGAGTAAATATGAAGTTACGCTCGAGTGTGTTTGAGAGATTGTGGTGTGTGAATGTATCTCCTCATGTCTGGATGAATGCTCTGCTGAGTCTAAAGTGTTTAATGCTTTAATACACAGTATGTGTGTGTGTCTACATGCATCTAGAGACGGCTCGTAACTCAACCAGAAACCAGATGTGCTGTCGTTATCATCAATCAAGCTGCAGCTTACAAACAGACTCATGCTGAGGAATCATTTGTCTATGATTTCAGTTTTAAACTCAGGTGAGTTAAAGTGAACGTAGCACAATATATCCGTGTAACATTTACTGCAGATTGTGTTCATAATCCGCTGTAGATCAGGGTGTATTAATAAGATCATGACGCATGATTCAGTCCTGTAACACATGTAGGATCTGTCATAATAACACTCATCCTGTCATCTATCATGCTTCATGTTTCTGCATGTGTGATGATTTATGGCATACTGTTGTTTTAGATTGGCACCATTTTTCTCAACTTTTAATGTGCATTTTAATATTTTTTTTTTCTGATAATTAAAGTTGATTGTCATTTGTATTTGTTTTACCTGAATAAACAACAAGTGAGAGAACAGCATATTCTGCAACATAACTGTATTTCACAATCCATGTTTCAATATTTTCTGTAACAGAAAAGACAATAATTACAATCACAATATCATAAACAACCAACACAAGAAACACAAATGACACTAAAACACTGAACACTATTTCATATTTAGTTAAATTCCTCACACAAAGATTATATAAAGTCCAAACATCTGGGTATTATGATTAATTCTCTCATCTCCACTGATAAACTGATCAAATGAATCATACCTGCAAACGTATTAATATACGGAGCCGCCCAGAGCAACAGGAGAGGCCTCAGAAAATAAAGAGCACAACAACAAACCGACTCATTCACAGATCCTGTAACAAACCCAGATATTAATCATGAGAAGTCATTGATATTCACTGACACATTGATATACATAAGTTTGTGAACCCTTTGACATTTCTGCATTGATTAATGTGGTCTGATCGCAGTTTAACACACACCATCTGACTAAACTAACAACACAAACAATGGAGCACTTTTCACATTTCACTGAATACATTGAGCAATCATTCACAGTTC